GCAATAGTAATCGAAAATCACCATAACAACTATTCTCGTGGCCAGTTAAGCTCCACACTATTATATATGCATACAATGGGCATCCAAGCCACACATTAACACATAGTCACTGCATCCATGCATTTTTACTAACTGTAGTATTCATCACATAGTTTTGTAATGTATACCATTTCATTTTCTATCTCATTTTCCACTTATGTTTACTTGTATTCTCTCAATCATCTTGTTACACTTTATACATCTTGTATTTTAGAAAGAAAGTGGTCCCTGTACATAGCAAGCTTTTCCCTTAGCTTTTTTGTTTTCAACTTTTATTTACCATATTTATATATGAAGACTACACAAGATCTGCACCCAATGCAACACATTTTCTCTTTAACCCCTTAAGGACCGAACTGTTTTTGCGATGTTGTACATTTGCGACCAGGCCTCTTTTTACACTTTTGTGGTGTTTGTGTTTAGCTGTAATTTTCCGCTCTCTCATTTACTGTTCCCATACAAATTATATATTGTTTTTTTCAGGACAAAAAGGGCTTTCTTTACATACTATTATTCATATAATCTCACGTAATTTGATTAAAAAATAAATAAAAAAATATGATGAAAAATTGAAGAAAATACATGTTTTTTGACTTTTACTTGAAAAATCTTTTACTCATCTACAAAAGCTAATGAAAAAAACTGCTAAATAGATTAAAAATGTTGTCCTGAGTTTAAAAATACCCAGTGTTCATGTGCTTTTTTGCTTTTTTTTGCAAGTTATAGGGCTATAAGTACAAGTAGGATATTACGGTTTCAAAATATACATTTTTAAAATGTATCAATAGTGACATTGTAACACTATTATCTGTCATAAATCTCTGAATCACACCTCACATGTACATATTTTTTTAAAGTAGACAACCCAGGGTATTCAATATGGGGTATGTCCAGTCTTTTTTAGTAGCCACTTAGTCACAAACACTGGCCAAAGTTAGCGTTCATATTTGTTTGTGTGTGAAAAAAGTAAAAAACTAAATTGAACGCTAATTTTGTCTTCTTTTGCAAATGGTATGCCATCATGGGGGTAATTCTCATTCCTAGGCTACCATACACTCTAAGGCAATCTAACTAATCTGGCAATTTTCATTGTAAAAATATTTGACCTATATATTTGACCCTGTAACTTTCAAAAACGCTATAAAACCTGTACATGGGGGTAACTGTTATACTCGGGGGACTTTGCTGAACACAAATATTAGTGTTTCAAAACAGGAAAACGTATCACAACAATTATATCATCAGTAAAAGTGCTGTTTGTGTGTGAAAAATGCAAAAAAATGACACTTTCACTGACAATATCATCGCTGTGAAATGTTTTACTGTTTATAAAAAATTGCATTAATTACACTTGCAGGGTTAAGAGTAGTGGGAGATGGCACCCAGACCACTCCAATGGGCAGAAGTGGTCTGGGTGCCTGGGGTGTCCCTTTAACCAAACCTAACACCATATACACATTGATTAAATGCTTGAATCAGATAATACAGAACTGGCTTCAGTCATATTCTGTCCCTGTCCGTGATCCTCTGATCGCAGAAGCCCCTGAGACCACCACCACAGACCAAATGTACATTGAGTCTACAGCTGTGGTCATAAGGAATACATTTCTCAGCATCCCCTTTAACACATTTTATTTTCACCCACTTTTTTATTTTAAAAGTACACCTACAATTAGGGACAATTAAGAACACATTAGTAGCAACCCCTTTTTCAACCCAGGAGGGTGTTTTCCCTTGGCCAAAGATAAAAGTCTCCTACCAACATATATGGTATTTACTGCACATAGCCACCAAAAGCAACCAGGGAGTTATTATTATGCCACTTTCTAAATGTATGCCCTTAAATACATTTGCCTTATCATCTTCATCCCCTATTTCATCAGGGTTCTTTTTTACTTCCACTGCCCCAGTAAGGGAGAAAGAAGGGTGTCACATCAGCAGTTGTGTTGTACATCATATATTAAGGAGGGTGCAGGCAACTTAGTTCAGGAATTTACCAACAACTTATGCTTAAAGGGACATCAGGGGGTGACAACCATGACGGTTGTCATGGGGCTAGCGGCTCTGGAGGTCCCGGCCGCACGGGCCCCTTGTGGAGCAGCGAAACTGCCACAGGTGCATCTGCACGGGGGCCCATCAGGTGGCCCAAGCATTTAGTGCCACCCGATGAGCCCTATATCTTCAGGGATGCGGTCAGTGCTGCAGCCGTGTAATAGCATGACCGGGCCCCTTTAAAAAAAATGTGGCTGCACCCAAATGCTGCCGAGAGACAGCCGAGCAGAGGAGAGGAGAGGCATCCGCTCCCATCATCCCCAGCCACCCTCCTATATCTGTCAGTATGTATGTATGTGTGTATATATCTATGTTTGCATGTATATATATCAGTATGTATTTCTGTGTGTGTGTGTATGTCAGTATGTATGCCTGTAAGTATGTATATATCTATCAGTATGTATGTGTGTGTGTGTGTGTGTGTATGTATGTATGTATGTCAGTATGCATGTGTGCATGTCAGTATGCATGTGTGCATGTCAGTATGTATGTATATATCTATCTGTATGTGTGTGTATGTCAGTATGTATGTATGTCTGTATCTATATCAGTATGTATGTATGCCATTATGTATGTATGTCTGTTTGTATGTCAGTATGTATGTATGCCATTATGTATGTATGTCTGTTTGTATGTCAGTATGTATGTATGTGTATGTGTGTGTGTGTGTGTCAGTATGCAAGTATGTATGTACGTCAGTGTGTGTGTCTGTATGTGTGTGTATCTGTATCTCCTTATGCATGTGTATGTCTGTATGTGTCTGTATATGTGTGTGTGTCTGTTTCAGTATGTGGGTGTCTGTATGTGTCTGTATATGTGTGTGTCTGTTTCAGTATGTGTGTATCTTTCTTTGTGTGTGTCTGTGTCCTTTTGTGTCTGTGTGTGTGTATTCCTGTGGGCGGGATTTGGAGGCGAGGCTTGGAGGCAGGCACCCAGGGGCCCAGACCTTGAGGACTAACTATTCAGAATGTTAATGTCACACCACCATTCAGTGGTCACAAAGGACTTTTGACCTAACTTTTGAACCACTGGACCAATTTGAATGATTTTTGAGTATATTTATATTCGAAGGACGCTGATTTCAAATATGTAACTTTAATATATATGTTCATTAATATTGCATGCATACTTTTAAAGTTATAAGAATTGTGTAAAAACTGTATATTTTCTACCTGTGCTAATTAAGTTAGTCTATAGTCTTGAGATAATTGTATCACAGGCAGAGGGGAGGATTTCTGCTGGGAGTGGTTTACTTTATTGTATGTGTTGTAATGTTTTTATTGGTTGTTCTGAAAAGCCCTGTGGGCGTTCCTGTATGTGTTAAACCTGCATAAAAGAAGGCCCTTTGGTGCCAAGTAAACAGAGTTCTACTTCACCCTCAATTTGGAGTGCCGTCTCTTATTGGGGGAATCTGCTACAAGGGATTGCTATGCTTGTCATATTCCCTTGCTAAATCACTACTAAGCTCTTGTAAGAGCTTGTTCCTGCCTTGTTCTCTGGAGGAGTCTACAGTGGTTATAGTGTCGGCTGCAGTGCTTGGAGCCCTCAGGAAGCGCTAGGAGCATTCATCAATGGAGGTACCCAGTCGGGGTGCCCGTCGATCCGTTACAAGGTCTATGAGATGACTAGAGATGACTCGGTTTCTCTCAAAGTTGGAATGAAATACACACAAAAGCCTGGAATCTGCTTTGCAGGCCTCAGGAAAAGGTTCTGGACATGCTGAACATGCTTTGAAAATCTTTGACTTTGCTGAGTCAGCTTTATCTGAAGGCACTATAGTCGATCTTCAAGTCCTGAGTGGCTAGATCCAGCACTGTATGTGCATGGTGGAAAATATTAATACGTCTCTGGCCATTGAGAAGTGCACGGCCATATTTATATAGATAGAGCTAACCTGGCCATTACAAATATGCTTAAAGCATGCTATTTAGGGAATTGTTTAAGGATTTGAGCAGATAAAGTGCAGTCATTAATGTGCAGAGTATTCAAAGAGTATTCTCTATTAAAAATCACATATACACATAACAAGATTTTATTATTGTATATATCATTAACCTGATGGGTGCTACTCCTTTAAAATAAAAGTTGTGTTCAGGTACATCTTCTGAGTACAACAACTGTGTCAGGCATTCTTGCAAAATGTAAACAAGCAATTAGTACTTCATTACTATATTATTGCATTTTCCTGGCTAACCAATGCAGCATATACAAATGCGTTAGCTCTGTCCCTTAGCCAATAGGACAGTAAAAACACAAAAGAGTTTAAAGGAGGTTCTCGGTCTTTTTCATCTCCTACAGCCCTTAGAATGGGGGCATTTTGCTCCCTTTACTTATGGACATATATATATGTATATATTTTTGTTTGTTTGTTTGTTTGTTTTCTCTTCATTACTTTATTTTTATTTGCTATTTTAGGATTTCTTTATACTATGGTGCCTTTATTATGCTGTCTTATATTATGGTGCCTTTTGGTGTTTTTATACTATGGTACTTTTATACGGTGGTGCCTTTAAACTGTGATGTCATTAATTAATTTGAGAATTTTCAGGCAATAATTTTGGGACACGAATAGAAGACGTGGCGTAATGTACCAACTTGACCGCCGTATCTCCAACATTTATTTTCGCTAAGGTGCATGTTAAAACGTTTGGAAGGGGTTACATACTCAGGGGCGTACCTAGATCATTTGGCACTCGGTGTGGACCTGGTTTTGGCACCTACCCACCACTCACCACCCCTCTCCAAAATGTAAAATACCCGCAAAATTTAAAAAATATTTTCTTTATTTTTTTTTTTTTTTTTAGTATATTGCACAGATTTGTAAACTTTGTAAATTGCCTGACTACAAAACCCCTGTCCTGCCCCCTTTTTACAAAACCTCTGCACCCCCCTTATATTCCCCTTGGAGTCTTAAGTTGGGGAAGCAGGGATTCCTTCTTGCTTCACCTAGAAGAGCAGCAGTGTCACACAGTCACATGCAGCCAGTCACACACACACATGAAGCCAGTAACACACACTCTCTCTCACTTACTGAAGTCCCTCCCTGGAGTCTAAGTTGGAAAGCAGGTATTCCTTCTCGTTTCCCCTAGATGAGCAGCAGTAACGGCAGCGGGTGGGGACCATGTTAAGCCCTGCCCCCGCAGTCTATTGGACCCCGCCCCCACATTTGATTAGTCCCACTTCCCTACCGTGCGCCTTGTGTGGCTTTGAAGTAATTCAGCTGCCTGTCCCTGCGTGTGTGAGCTGTTTCGGCTGCCATGGCAACCTGTGCGGCCGCACAGCTCACACATACTAAAGCCGGTCCTGGTCATCATGGCACCCCCCCTAGTGAGTGGCACCCAGGGCAGACTGGCACCCCTTTGTACGCCACTGTAGGTACCATCTATAAATGAATTTGTAATGGGATTCCAAATGGTTTGCACATTGAGTGATACCTTTTAACGATGATAAACATTAATTCCACTCCTCTACTGTGTATATTCCACCCAGCTCACTCTCCCACCTCAATATGTAATTTGTTTTATCACACATGTCACCTGCAAAAATATTGTAGCACAAGGAGTTGCTTTGTTTCTGACCAGGATATAATAAATAGATTGTTTTTTTCTTCTAATTTTGTTATATCCAATTTCAACACATTCGGATCCTGATCAGAAAAGAGCTAAATGTTCTTGTCACAAGTCTTTCATGTGTTGGGGCATCATGTAAACTTAAGTCAGATTTATCTTTTATTTGATCAAAAGGCAGAAGGTCATTGGAAGAAATAGATAATTGATATGGACAATCAAATGGGAGGCCCAATAATCTACATCCAATTCAGGTAAAGCATGACATACTGCTGTTAATGGTGTTGCTCTGGACCATGTAGCAAAGGTTTAATTTTTTTTAAATAATAGGTTCCACATTTTAAAGGTTAGTTTAGGAGAGGGGAAAAATTCCTTGGCCTTAGGGCCATCCATCTCAAGCCATTGGGGCCTGGTGTTATCTCAATTAAATTTAAGTGCCATTGCTGCATTAGTAGCTTAGCAGTAATGAATAAAATCTGACAAACACATATCTCCCCCAACAAAAATGATACAAGGGCAGAGTGGACTTTTCTAAAAAAGGATAAAGGTATAGAGAGGGGAATTGTTCTAAGTATATGTAAAAAAGGAGAGTCATTTATACTGAATTAATCCTACCTAACCAAGAGATTTCGAGACCACACCATCTCTTGTACCAGACCTTTTCTAAATGAAATCTCTGCATCTTGGACAAATTCTTGCACAGATTGATGCCCAGATAAGAAATATAGGAGTCCCTCTAATCAAAATCATAAATTGTCTTTATGGTATCCAAATTGAAATATGGTAAAAAAAACTGAGCTTGAGTTTTTAAAGAAAGTATGATGTCATCTGCAAATAAACCAATTTTATGTTCTTTATCCCCTACAGGATCCCCTACAGGATACGGGATTAAAATGTTAGTAAAAGATCTATAATAAGACATGGTAAATCCGTTAGGATCCGGGGCCTAGAATTCTATGTAATATTATCCCTGTGTCTTTGTCTCTTTAAGAAAAAGTCCATCTAACCTGCCTAGAAACAAACAAATTATACTAGGCCATCTTTTCATATCAGCTAATTCCATCATCTCTCTTCATTGAAAGTCACCCACTGTACCAACCGTGGGTGAGGTCTTATCTCTTTTTTTTTATTTTATTTTTTAAAGGTATGATTTGGCTTTTTGTCATCCATCTACTTTCACCTCTATATTGCAGCATGAATGCTCAATGTGGGAAGATGATGTGAAAGATTAAATTTGGACTATGTTCCCACCTGACTGAATACATATTCTGCTTCATGATTTTTATTTTATTTCTGTACATAGTTTACTTATTTCATATACAAATATTTATAATACTTATGTGTATTTTATTCAACTGATTGTTTAGTTTTGACAATGGTTCATAAGTCATTATATATGTGTCAATGTTGTATGATATATTATATTATTTTAAAACATTAATAAAAAAATATTTGACGTAAACTGTGGTGCCTTAATGCAGCGGTGCCTTTCTCAAGTGGTGACTTTTGCAACTTTTTTCCTTTTAATCACCTTGCAAGCACTTTTACTTTATTTCTTATTCTTCCCCTTGGTCCCGGCGATTTATTCCTGGGTTCCCTTGTTGTTCAGGTGCCATGTATGCTGCAGACCGAGCTTGAGACCGGCATATGCATGAGAAAGATGCCCGCGCATGTGCACTTTAGTACTTTGCCACAGGTAATATTTATTTTATTGTTTGTTTGATGTCTGAATCTACACTATGTTCTGGTTGTGATGGGAAAGTAGTGGAAGGAAAACAATTATATAGTTACATGGCTGAAAAGAGACTTGCGTTCATCAAGTTCAGCATTCCTCACAAATGTTTTTGCTGTTGATCCAAAAGAAGGGAAAAAACCCAGCCTAAAGTGCTCTTCCACATCACTTCAGCACTTATACCTGCACAGCCATATGACATGATGACATGCTGGCATGGCTTACAAAGGAAGATCCAAGGTATTTCAGAGGCTTTAGATGTAAGAAAAAGAGGCCAAACTTTACCCTGTGGAGGAACCGCTTGAAAACTAGGTTTTTTTTTTTTAATGCAAGCCTATGGATCAAAAGTGGACGCAGACCTGTCTAAATTTACACTTGCCGATGCAGGATACAGCGAAAAGCCATAAAATCTTGGCTCACAGTCAGATCAACTGAGTAACCCTTTCAATGCTGGCTAGATCCTCCTAGGCATATAATATCCTATTCTCATGTAATTTTCAATTAAAATAACATTCAACCCAGCTCATTAATCATTTCCTGGAACCATCCAAAAGAGTCAAATCTACAGATTCTATAAGCCGAATTTTAATTTGCCTAAAAATATATCTTATCTTATTTCAGAGCAAATCAAAACACTTGGATAAAAACAGCGGTATGCTAACACGTGGTAAGATACCAGTACTATGTAATTATCTGACTCCACCTGCAGAATGGAGTGTTATAACTACATATTCTTTATTTAATTAAGATTCCTCAATTATAGGATCTGATCGTGATTTATCCATGCATGTATCCTGCTATTAATAAATTTTAATTAATTTAGATTAATTAAATAAAACCAGCATAATTACCAGTTATGATGTTGATGTTCTCATCAAATGAGTAGGTAGTCCCAGGAACTTGAATGCGAGTATGATTGGTTGTATGGAGGTGTGTAAGTAATAGAGAAAAGTGATGTTGGTTAGAAAGTAATAGTAAAATTCTAAGTGTCATGGAGTGTTTCTTGAGTTGTGTCCAAGAGAGTTTGAGAGTTGAGTGTTAGTCCCAGAACGTCCTGAATATCTGTCCTGGATCTCTCTGAATGTCGGAATCTGAAAGCCCAAACTAACCTCTCTCTTCCCTTTGTCCTAACTTTTTAAAGGGAAAGATTCTCTGTACGTCATTAGTTGATAAGACCAATAGGATACTGTAGATGTGTCTACGTTATCTAGTATTATCTAGTTTTTGGTCAATAGAGGGCGCAATTGCCTCATCAACATTTTATGTCCTCAAAAGAGTTAACTTATTTTGATGACGATTCTGACATCATTTGGCTTATCTAAAATGACTACCATAACTTAAATTTGCTGTCAGTTCAAAGTGTTTGACTCAGTCTTTTGTGATCGTACTTTCTAGGATTGACATGTCTAAACTCAATTTCACCCTTTACTTACAATGGGACCTTGTAAGATTTAGAAAGTAAAATGAATTACTTATTCTTCTCTGTCACTAGTGTCTGTGTTTAAAAAAATTTCTATTCCATTAACATTTAAACAGAGCATTCCACTCCCCTGCTTCATTGCTTATCACTTGGCTTGTTTACATAATGCATTCCTTAGCTCAGGCTGATGGCTAGTGTTACTGAAAACAAGGAAATACATTTTGTGTCTGTCTTGCCTGAAATCCAAAATGGAGTCTGCTTTGTTCTGAGTGACTCTGGCAATATACACTTTTAATTTCTATCTTAGCACAAAATGTCTGCCAATATAAATATCCTGACACCAGCGTGAAGCTCTGTCCCATGTCAACCTCAAGTCATTGACCCTATTGAAAGAGGACTCCCCCCAGGTGACGTTGAGACTCAAGAGCTGCACACTCTGCCTGTGTGCTACATAGTTTACAGTAACTATATATGACTCAGGATAATAAAATTATTAACTGCTTCATACATGGTTACTGTTAGTCTGCTGACTAATTTAGAAAAGGATCTCGAAAGACAAACTATTCCTAAATATTTACTGAAGTGTCCAAGTTGTATTTTGAAACCAACAACTCAAAGTATCCATCCACAGTTAAACATAAAAAATATTTAATATATAATTTTGCCCCAGTTGACAGCTATAAATATTTGGACGTGTGGCCACACTTTCAACTTGTGTTGATTTACAACAATTCCGCTGATATGTTCCCATACATTTTCCTTATTCCAATTCACACAGTCCCTTACAAACTCTGGTTCTATTATTATTATTATTATTTGGTATTTATATAGTACTACTTTTGCAAGCATTAGGTGGACTGTCTGACATCCGAGGCAGTCCCCCTGCAGGCAGAGCTGCGTACAGCCATTCTGGCCAGGTGTCCCGGGAGAGCCAGATCAGCCGTGGGGGGACTGTCTGGGCTGCATGCCTTCCGTCCTTAAAGTGTTAAGGAAACAAAGTTCTCTGGTGTTAATTATGTGCTTTTCTCTCCAGGCATTCATTGTGGTTAAGAAATATATTATGGTCTTAAAGGTCCTTTATAGTCTCCAAAACAAGCTTAATAAGGCTGTTTTGGTGTATAGATCAGGCCCTTGCAGTCTCACTGCTCAATTATCTGCAATTGAGGAGTTAAATAACTTTGTTTATGCAGCCCTAGTCACACCTCCCTGCATGTGACTTGCACAACCTTCCATTGTGTTCAAATTAGAATGTCTTTTCTCCTGCTCTGTTGATAGCCTTCTAGACCCTGCAGGAGTCTCCTACTTGTGATTAAAATTTAATTTAGATAGCAGGAGATAAAATCTTCTAAAACAAGGAAATATCTGAAAATGAAACCATTTTTCATGCAGGCT